CATTGTCACCTTTTGGCTCTTATAAATATCTCTATGAACATTTTTATACAAGGTTTTACATGCAAGCATATTTTCATTTATGTTGAGTATATACTTGGAAATAGTTTATACCTGGAAGCTCTCATATGTTGGTGGGCTTTGGGATGGAATTTTGAGGAAAGGTAGATCATGTGATAGCTCTATATTTAATTAGTTGAGAAAATATGAGACCATTTTCCAGTGTTATTGCACCATTTGGCAATCCCACCAGCACTATATAAGGATGCCAATTTCTTCACATCCTTGCCGACACTTCTTGCTGTATGACTCTTTGATTCTAGTCAAGTGAATGGTATCTCGTTTTAATTTTAATTTGCATTTCTGCCACCTGTGGCCAGCGCAGGCAGCTAAACTAGAGTCGTTCTAGTGAATTTCCTAAGGTAGGAAATAAAACACAGACACACAATTTACCTTTAAATTCAAGCCCCGGGACAGCTCTTCTGCCCTCAGCCTCAAACTCCCCAAATGGGAGAGCAAGGAATGTCATTACAGGCTGGTGAGAGAGAGGGAGCACATTTCAGAGTGGGCTTTTATTGCGGGGACTCCAGATTCTTTAGAAATTTCCATCCAGTGAAGGTCAAGGGGGGCAGGGTTACAAGGACAGGTGAGGTAACTCCATCCCTGGGGATATAGGAAGGCATGCCCATGCACGAAGGCACATTTGGCTGCATTTTTACTACTCTCAAGATGGGGGCTAGTCTGCAGCCACTTGAAAGTGGCCAGATCACGGGGAATGACCAACAGTTCCTGAAGCCAATCAGGAGATGAAAACACTGGTCCCATGACGTGGCAGCCTCCCACACATTTTCTTCATCACTTCTGAGTCCAAGCATTTTTTCATGGCCATTTATGTATCTTCTGTGGAGAAATATCTATTCAGATCCTTTGCCTATTTCTAATTGTGTTACTTGTCATAGTATTGAGTTATAAAGGTCCCTTAGATGTTCTAAAAATCAAAATTTTAAAATTTTATTTGTTCTTTATAGATATATATATGACAGTAGGGTATACTTTGACATATTTATACAAACATGGAGTACATCTTATTCTAATTAGGGTCCCAGTCTTGTGGTTGTACTTGATGTGGGGATTCACCGTGTGTATTCATATATGTACATAGGAAAGTTGTGTCAGGTTCATCTCACTGTCTTTGCTATTCCTGTCACCCTTCCTTCCCTTCACTCCCCCTTGTCTAATCCAATGAACTTCTATTCTTCCCCTACTTTGTCTAATCTCTTACTACATACACACAATTTGTGAATATTTTCCCCCATTTCAGTGGGTTGTCTTTTCATTTGCCTGATGGTGTCTTTTGAAGTACACAAGTTTTTAATTTTGTAGAAATCCAATTTTTTATTTTATTTTGTTACTCTTGCTCTTGATATCATATCTAAGGATGCTTTGCCAAATCTGGGCTCTTGAAGATTAACTCCTGCTTTCTTCTAAGAGTTTCTTAGCTTTACATCTTAAAAAGGTTCATTAATTTTGAGTTTTTAAAAAAAAATAATACCAGAGATTGAACCCAGAAGCACTTAACCACTGAGCCACATACCCAGTCTGTCTGTCTATCTATCTATCTATCTATATATGTATATATATATATATATATATATATATAAACATACATATATATATTAGAGAGAGGGTCTCACTGAGTTGCTGAGGCTGGCTTTGAACTCATGATCCTCCTGCCTCAGCCTTCCAAGCTGCTGGGTTTAGTTAAATTGTGTACTTGGCCTGAGGAAGGAGTTCAACTTCACTCTTCTATCTGTGGACATCCAGCTGTCCTACCAGTGGTATTATCCCCATTGAAAAGTCTTGGCATCCTTATTGATCATTGTTGACTATGGATATAGTGGGTTATTAATGGACGCTCAATCCTGCTTCATTGATTATTTGTGTACCCTTGTGTCTATACCACACTGTCTTGATTATCATTGTTGTGTAGTAAGTTTTGAAATCGGGAAGTATGAGTTCTACTTTGTTGTTCTTTCAGGATTGCTTTGGCTATTCTGGGTCCTTCAAAAGTCCACATAAATTTTTAAATCAGCTTGCCAAATCTACAAAGAAGCCAGCTGAATTTCTGATGGGATAGCATTAAATGTGTAGGTCAGTTTGGGATGTATTAACACCCTGATAACCCATGGATATGGCATGTTTTCCCATGTATTTAGGTTTAATTTCTAAGTTTAATTTTTATCAAGAATGTTCTGTTGGACCATTTCTCATTCTCACTGCAGCCATGACATGTAACACTCTTGATTTGAACTCATAACTACCTTGCCCCAAAGCCAACCAATGTTTGTCCCTTATAGTTGCTGTCTTGAAAAACAATACTACATCTGAAAACTTCTTGCACAAAAGAAAAGTTTTCCTAAAGATCTGAAGTATGGAAGATTGGGAAAGATGCTGGCATGGGGCTCAGGCAATTCAAGATTTTGCAAGCTGAGCTTTGGGAGCAGGAGAGATGGCCAAATGTAGCATTATATAGTAAAAAAATAAATCCAAATTCATAGTGCAGCATTGCTAAAGGACCGGTGAAAGATTTGAAAATCCAGAGAATTCCAGTGCAGGGAAGGGTTAATATGAATCATGAATCACTATGGGTCCTGATTTATATATTTGTTTATCTATTTATTCATTTACTCAGTGTGTGTGTGTGTGTGTGTGTGTGTGTGTGTGTGTGTGGTGTGTGT